CCATCCGGAGAAGAGGAAACTTGCTCTTTCCCCGCTGGAGGGCGGGGCCCCGATTCCAACAGTACTTTTCAGTGCGACCAAAACATCAATGAAAGACCACTTTTTCCCCTTTCCCGGATGTGACAGCACAAACTCTGCCAGTCCGGGACGCGCTGCCTTCCGACTCACAGATTCTACATGCTTCGCCAGTGGGTCACGAGCGCTGGGGGGACGGTCTCCCTTCACTCAGCCCTCCAGCCCCCTCTCCGGAGTCAGGGTGCGGAGCCAGAGCAAATCGCTCTTCCGCGGGACCCTCGTACTTCCGGGATCAGCACACCCACTCCGCGCTGCCCCACCGCTGGTACGTCAGCAATTGTAGCGATGACTCTCTATTAGCGAGGGCTCTGCCTGCCTGGTTAGCGCGGGCCAGCCCCTCGCGGTGGCTCATACGCACAATCAGAATCAGTTACGCGATTCAGTTCACGAAGTGCCCCCCCCCCCCCCCCCCCCAAATTCACGAGCGTGTATTTCACCAGTGTCCGCCCCGGTCTTGCGAGAGGAGATTGCTGCCCTCCTGGCGAAGGGTGCAATCGAGCCAGTTCCTCCAGCCGAGATGGAGAGTGGGTTTTACAGCCCATACTTCATCGTACCCAAAAAGAGCGGTTCCTAGATCTGCGTGTTTTGAACCGCTGTCTGCACAAGCTGCCGTTCAGAATGCTCACGCAGAGGCGCATCCTCCAATGCGTTCGTCCTCGGGATTGGTTTGCAGCTATAGACCTGAAGGACGCGTATTTCCATGTCTCCATTCTTCCACGCCACCGCCAATTTCTGTGGTTTGCGTTCGAGGGTCGAGCATGGCAATACAAGGTCCTCCCCTTCTGGCTCTCTCTGTCTCCGCGGGTCTTCACCAAACTCGCGGAGGGTGCCTTAGCGCCCCTTCGGCTCGCGGGCATCCGCATATTATCTTGATGACTGGCTGATTTTAGCCCACTCACGGGAGCAATTGATTATGCACAGGGACAAGGTGCTTCGGCATCTCTGCCTACTGGGGCTTCAGGTCAACCGAGAAAAAAGCAAACTCGCCCCCGTGCAGAGGATCTCTTTTCTCGGGATGGAGCTGGACTCAGTCACCATGGTAGCGCACCTCTTCGAGGAACGCGCTCACCTGTAGCTGGGCTGTCTGAGAGAGCTCGACAGTAAAATAGTGGTCTCACTGAAGTTCTTTCAGAGGCTCCTGGGGCATATGGTATCCGCAGCCGCCGTCACGCTGCTCTGATTGCTCCATATGAGACCACTCCAGCACTGGCTTCACGATCGGGTCCCAATACGCGCATGACACGCAGGGACACACCGAGTCTCTGTCCTTCAGCCCTCGGAACGACCCCTCGTTCCTACAGGCCGGTGTGCCTCTAGGACAGGCGTCCAACCATGTTGTTGTTTCAACAGATGCTTCCACCACGGGTTGGGGGGCTGTGTGTCGCAGGCATGCAGCTGCGGGCCTGTGGAAGAGTGCCCAGTTGCATTGGCATATCAATTGCCTAGAGCTGTTGGTAGTGTTCCACGCTCTCCACTGATTTTGACCGGTGCTGGAGCGGCAACACGTGCAGGTCAGGACGGACAGTACGGCGGCGGCGGCGGCGTATATCAACCGCTTGGGGGGTATGCGCTCTCGCCGCATGTCTCAGCTCGCCCGCCGTCTGCTCCTCTGGAGTCACCCGCGGCTGAAATCGCTGTGCGCCATTCACGTTCCAGGCACGCTCAACCGTGCAGCTGATGCGCTCTCACGGCAGCTGTTACGTCCTGGAGAATGGAGACTCCACCCCGAGTCGGTCCAGCTGATATGGGCACGATTCGGGGAGGCCCAGATCGATCTGTTTGCTTCCCCCGAGAACGCTCATTGCCAGTTGTTTTTTTTCCCTAACTGCTGCTCGCGCAGTTTCTGTGCAAGGTCAGGGAGGACGAGGAACAGGTTCTGCTAGTTGCGCCCCTCTGGCCCAACCGGACCTGGATATCAGAGCTCTCCCTCCTCGTGACGGCCCTCCCCTGGCAGATCCCTCTGAGAGAGGACCTACTCTCTCAGGGGCAGGGCACCATCTGGCACCTTCGCCCCGATTTTTGGAACCTCCACGTGTGGTCCCTAGACGAGAGGAAGACTTGGGTAACCTATCGAGTGCGGTGGTTAATACCATCACTCAGGCTAGAGCCCCCTCCACGAGGCGCGCCTTCGCCCTGAAGTGGAGTCTATTCACTGAATGGTGCGTCTCTTGCAGAGAAGACCCCCGAAATTGCCAGATCAGTATTGTGCTCTCTTTCCTCCAAGAGAAGCTGGACAGCAGGCTGTCGCCCTCCACTCTCAAGGTTTACGTGGCCGCCATCTCCGCTTATCATAACGCGGTAGCTGGCGGCACCGTGGGAAAGCACAACCTCATCACCCGGTTCCTCAGGGGTGCTAGGCGAATTAATCCATCCCGCCCCCCTCTCATGCCCTCTTGGGATCTCGCCCTTGTTCTCACGAGTTTGCGCGCAGATCCCTTCGAGCCACTCGATTCAGTATCTCTAAGATTTCTGTCCCTGAAGACAGCTCTGCTGGTCGCGTTGGCCTTCATCAAGAGGGTCGGGGACCTGGAGGCATTTTCGGTCAGTGACTCGTGCCTGGAATTCGGGCCGGACTACTCACGTTATCCTGAGACCCCGCCCGGGTTATGTGCCCAAGGTTCCTACCACCCCCTTTAGAGATCAGGTAGTGAACCTGCAAGCGCTGCCCCCGGAGGAGGCAGACCCAGCCCTTTCTTTACTTTGTCCAGTTCGCGCTCTGCGCATTTATGTGGACCGTACTCAGAATTTTAGATCATCTGAGCAGCTCTTTGTCTGTTATGGCGGTCGGCAGCTAAGTGCCGTATCGAAACAAAGATTATCCCACTGGATTGTGGATGCCATTTCACTCGCTTATTTGAGCAGAGGTGAGCCGTGTCCCCCGAGAGTGCGTGCACACTCCACTCGGAGCGTTGCATCCTCTTGGGCTAGTGCACGCGGCGCATCTCTAACAGACATTTGTAGAGCTGCGGGCTGGGTGACACCCAACACATTTGCAAGGTTTTACAATCTGCGAGTGGAGCCGGTTTTCTCAAGGGTATTAGCGAACCCTTTGATGATTGAGGAAACAACTCAGTAGGGTGTTGAAACATGCTTGCTGCGCCATTCTCCCTAACACGGAGGTACGTGCGCCTTTTTATCTGTCAGTAAAGTTCCTCGTCAGGTGAGCCCTGCAGATTCCTCTGTGGCCCCTAGCACTGACTCAGCGGAGGAGTCACCTGCTGGCCCACTACCTTGTAGGTCTGCCCGCTGGTCAGCCCGCATTTTGGGTATAGGTGCCTGCTATGCGTGATCCCCACTAGGCGATCCCATATGCTTATTCTGCCACGGTTAAGTCCCCCCCCCCCCCCCCCCCCTCGGTGGACCCGTGTCTTCCCTCTTCGCTAACCACTTTTTTTCTATGCGTACTCCCCCTTCTTAGGGTTAGTCCATATGTAAATTCTGCCATCTATCCCCCCCTTGGGTAGCGGATGGCCTCCGCAGTGTCCTCCCTATCGGGATTGCACGCTTCCCAACGTACTGTCGTATTTTCTTAGAATTATCTAGACTCTCACGACTTCCCAAATAATATATCTAAATCCGTAAAACTTCTGTTGAAGTAGGCTAAATTAGGGCCAGGGACACGTTGGAGGACCGCGCCTCCCATGTTGTGGGTGCTTCACGCTTGCTTGACTATCCCCTCATCGGGGGCGTTGGTAAGGTGCAGTCATTATGGTGCTTTTCCATAGTTCTCCCATACGTGGATTTTCAAAATCAAATCCACTGTATAGCACTGAAGTTCCCCGACCGAAGGGGAACGTTAGAGGTTACAGAAGTAACCCTTCGTTCCCCAAGAAGGGGAACGGAAGTGCTATACTCCGTCGCCATAATGACTGTCCCTTAGCTTTTTGAAAGTCTCTTCAGCTTAAAAGGATGGCGTTTGCTCGCTCCAGGTGTGCTTACATGCTGGGATAATTGGCAATGAAGCACACCTGTGCAAGCTTACGCTGCTAATTCATTGCATTCATTCGCCTGTTCAATACTCTTTCAGACAAGCGGCTTCTGAACCGAATCCTCCCATACTTGGATTTTCAAAATCAAATCCACTGTATAGCACTTCCGTTCCCCTCCTCAGGGAACGAAGGGTTACTTCTGTAACTTCGAATGTTTTGTCACCTAATCTAATGATGACTATGCTTCATAAATCCCTTATAAATTACCATTGAAGGCTCAGTTATAGTCTAAAAAGGGACAAATTGCAAAGATTATTGTTCATTTGATACTGTGTCTTTAATTGTATTTAACCAGTATTTAACTACTCTTAAATACAAATGGTTTGTAAATGATGCAACACTTAATTTAGTCACGAAAAATCTATACAGCATTTGTAGCTGTAGTTATAAACTGCTTACTAACGTCTATTAATGTAGAGTTAATAAATTCATTATATCGTCACCTTAAAATTATAAGGTTCTATCTGTCATTTTTGTCAAAAACTAGTTATTGACATATTCTTATTAAATTACAACTTATTTACATTATGGGATGGTTTTATAAGTAATTTACGTTTTAAGACTTTTTTAGTTAAAAAAAACAAATGTTACACACATACTGTTTTGATATGGAATGCAAAAACTTTGAAGCTCAATATCCCACAATCGTTCAAAACTCAGAACCTTATAATTCTAAGGTGACCATCTGCTAATGCTTCATAAATGATTCAGTTTGTAATTATAAAGTGTTACCGTTACTCTATCTCTCTCACACATCAATTTTGTGAATAAATGATTTTAAAAAAACTTTTACTGCTATTAAGGCAAACTCTTAATAATAAGATAAAATGTTTAATGAATATTTAATGCATTTCCCATTGATCACTAATCACTTGGAGCTTGTAGTTTTATACATTGTTGATGTTTTTTTTTTTTATCCCTTTAAAAATTTATTAGGCCAGTATCCATCGTCATCCCACTACACACGAAACTGGGACAAGTTAGTGGGAGAAATAAAGGAGGAGGAAAAGAAGGAAAATCTGGAGGGTGATGCTGCTCTCAACAAGCTTTTTCAACAGATCTATTCGGATGGCTCGGATGATGTCAGACGGGCAATGAACAAGTCTTTTGTAAGTACTGTAAGGATGTGTGTATAGATTTTCCTTCTGATCTTTGAAGTCATTTAGGTTGTATTATTAAATTGTATGGCATTTAGAACCGTAAAGTGAAAAAGAATTTCTACAACAAAATTAGAATAAACACTCTATTAACCTTTGTTTATTTAACATGATTCCAAAAGTTTGTGCTTCAAAGAGTGATAGTATGTTTAAGTCGTTCACAAAACAGCCCACATGGACTCAAAACTGTTTTTGTTATGACGTTGTTAGCAACAAGCCGCATGGTGTCTGATCTTTTCAATTGCTATTAAATCTGATAGGGATCTGACTACAGTGAATGATAGGAATTCGTGCAACTTTTACATGCATCCTCATTCTGCATTGGCACTTACTACAAACATCCTCTAACTCCTCAGTGGCTTTTCATTAACCTTTGAGTTTAACACACTGATGTCCTCAGTCTTGGTTGTTCCCTGGAGAGCATGATCACAGTGATCATTTTCGCATTATCAGCTGATAAATTTCACTGACGCTGTGCTGCATGTTTCGGGCTTGTCATGGATTACTACTTATCAGCTTTTTCTATCACATAACACTTATTTTAGCTTGCAAATGACGAAATGCAATACACTGCTGTCTGCGAAAACTGCAATAATAATCATTTACATTTTTTTTTTCACAATCACTTTATTCACATCATCACTGTGTGCTTTAGGAAATGATATGATATAAATGTCTAAGGCGTCGTTTACACTAATACGCTTTAATTTTTAAAACGCAAAAGTTTTGTTATGGTTATGTCATCTGTCTACACTACGCCAGAGTTTTCGAGCGCCGAATACAGAGCATTTTCGAAAGGCTGAAGAGATCATTTCGATTCTAAAACACTGCTGCTCCGTCTCAGTGTTGATGGGAGAAAAGAGGCGGGCTGCAGACATTTGCTGATTGGGGCTTTTTCCTTTATATTCAGTTGAGTTCAGAAACATAGTTCAGTCTTGCATCCTCTTTTTCTTTAAGTTCAGACCTCGCAAGTTTGATATGAAGAACAAACTCCTGGGGACACGATGGATAAATCTTCAAAGGGAACAGTGTACTTCATAACCTCATTCATAACACCCTGAATACCATGTTTCACTTTCTTAACAATAAAATGAAAACATGATATAAGGAACTGCCTATTTTCATTTTGATATTAGCAGCTTAACAGACACCAAAAATGTTGAAGCGTCATGTATCTGCGTATTTATATGACCGTCATCTTCACTGTATGCATATTTATAACAAAACGAAGCCTAAAACATCACTGCCTTCTTTCATTTTCATTGAAAATGTGAAACATATGCTCTTTTGCTGAATATCAGTTAGCATTAGCATTACTTTGGGATCTGCCAAGGGTCTGGAAGTGAAAAGGTTTAATGTCACTCAAACCTGGCCGGCTAGAGTTTTGCATGAATTCTTATTATTAAAAGCCCAACAAACATAAATTTCGGCTATGTGTTGTTGTTAATTTGTTACATTTTTGATTTTCACAGTACATAATTAGAAAGTTTAAGCTGTGTAAACCATGATCAGTTCACACTGGAAATGTTATATCGGCCATTTTTCAACAACGTGAAAAATTCATCTGAGAAAAGTTTTTTATTTGAGCACTAAGCCTCGCAGTGTGAACATAGCCTGAGCTACAGCAAAAATGACACCCTGCTTTTCAAGTTGTCAATTGAATTTCTATAAAACATATGGTGTCAAAGCAGCTTTAGATAAACAGGTAATAATAGAAAATCAAGTTCTAAGTCTTAGTGTGTACAGTTGCACAAAAATGCTGTATTTCCTTCTGCTGTCATAGACCTTTGGAAACTTTGGCTGTGATTTATTTATTTTTTTTCTATTTTCTTCTACAGATGGAATCAGGAGGCACTGTCCTCAGCACCAACTGGATAGATGTTGGTAAACGGAAAGTAGAGATGAACCCGCCTGATGACGTAGAGTGGAAAAAATATTAAAATAGGTAGATGACATTGTCTAAACTACCATCACCAGTTTGTCCTTACCCACTTCTTCAGTTGGTCAGACTTCTTCCTTTGTCAGACCCAGAATAGTTCTGGAATAAAATGAGATTTTTAACTTTTCTCTCTCTAGAATTAGTTTGTGTTTAACTAAACTAGCCTATTACATTTTTAAAGCATCACACATTAAAACAAATCAGCAGCTAAACATCTGTACTGAAAGTCACTTTTGCCGCTGTTAGGTCTCCACCTGTATAACAACATCTGTTAATTTTGATCACTGTTTTTATGTACTTGTGCGTTCCTAAATATGCTTTTGACATGCTGTAAATAAATGTTTCTTTTTTTTCTTGCTCTGTGATTGGGGTGCCCTTGGTCTCTTATCAATCTTTTACATCTTGTAAAGAACTCTTGCATATTTTGAAGAAACTCTTTTTCATTCAGCAAAATAAATAAATCAATAAATGCGTTACACATTATGCTTACTGGTTGTCTTATAAGATTTATATTTATAAATTTTTTTGCAATTTATATATAATAAACACAACTACAACTGCAAGCAGCAATTATTGGGGCCGAGCAGCTCAGCGACCAGATTATAAAAAAGTTCGACACGACAAGTTACAGAGCTACTGAAAAATTCTATAGATGTTTAGCCAAATTTGGTGGAAATTGGGCTAATGATCTATGGACAGTTCAAAACAACAGATTTTTAAACTAGTTCAAGATGGTGGACAGGAAGTCGTGTCAGTTAGGGAATAAATTATCAATGTTCTCTATAGGGCTGCACGATTCTGGCTAAAATGAGAATCACTTTTTTTTTTTAAATTTAAAATCAAGATCATTATTTCTCATGATTCTGTAGATGTAAAATAAAGGTTATTATAAGAAGGCTATTATTATTATTGTTAAACATATGGTAAAACAACACTAATAATACTAGGCTTATGTGTAGGTTTACTGTTGGTTAAAATACTGCATTTTTTATAGTCTTGGAATGGTGGACTTGAACAGACTATCAATATGTCCTATTTGTTATTTCACAGTAAAGTTACGATATCAGAATGCTACTCTTTATAATTCTAAAGCTGAATCATGTTTGAGACATATGCTTGTCATTTGTCATTTAGAGCATTATTAGACCATTTTTTACTGGTAAAATGAGACATTGGTCATTATCAGCTTCCTTCTTGCATTATCTTCAACATCATCCTAGCTAGAGTAGTTATATTGACACCATAAACATTTATTTTCATGCACAACACCATGCGTTAGCTATGAAAGAAAAAACATGTCAAATGCTTGTCGTAATCATAACTGTTATATTTAATTTTATAATTATCATTTAAATTATGTGCGCACATGCTTTCACTTTTGAGTAAGGCTTATGGCTGCTGTCATTGATAAAAAAACACACATGCAAATTTACCTCCCACACAGCACTTAAACGATCACTCTGTGCAACAAACTGAATGTTATTTACAAAAATTATTATTTTACAAAAATTGCTTCGTAATTAGCAAAAATTGCTTTGCTAGCACAAAAATAATCACATTCATGTTCAAAAGATGCTGCCATAAAAAATAAATGGGAGATAATCAAAAATATGAACAGAATTTTTTTGTTTTTAAATATGGATAAAAATACCATGGTAAAATACCATGGTGCTGAAAAAAAGAGCTTAACAGTTAAAGGGTAACGCTCTAAAATAATAGGATCTCCATTTTAATTATCTAAGCACAAAGTTTAAAGTGCATGTTGCAGAAGTATTAAGCAATTGTCTGAATTCATTCATTCATTTTCTTGTCGGCTTAGTCCCTTTATTAATCCGGGGACCGGGGTCACCGCAGCGGAATGAACCGCCAACTTATCCAGCAAGTTTTTACTCAGCAGATGCCCTTCCAGCCGCAACCCATCCCTGAGAAACATCCACACACACATTCCCACGCAAAGGCAGGGAGAACATGCAAACTCCACACAGAAACGCCTACTGAGCCGAGGTTCAAATCAGCGACCTTCTTGGTGTGTGGCGACAGCACTACCTACTGCGACACTGCCTCTGCCTTTTGCTATTTTAAGGAAGGAGGAAAAAAAAACGGTCTGTGGTGCATGTACTTATTCTATTAATGAGTTATATGTGTGTTTTGAGCATAACATGCATTAAACCAATCAGTCTCATCTCCAATTCCCTTTAGGAGTCAGTTGTGTCATGTCAAAGCATGCTTTTTACATGGTGAACTTTGTTAGTGGTAAAAGCTGAACATTTCACTAGCAAGAAAATAGTTAAACAGACCATCTGCAGAACGAGCCTCCTCCATTCAGCCTCTTTACTCTTTACTTTGTTTAATTTTACACTTTACTCCTTTACTTTCGTGAAATAAGAAAATAGTAGAAACTTAATTCAATGAAGACATTCATTAGTCTACATATTTGATTTTGTTTAAGCTCAAAGATTTGTTTCAAAACTATTTCTAAATTCAGTTCTAATTTCCAGCAAACTAATAAATGAACAATAATAACAAAGTGTATATCCAAACACACTTTCTATTCCTATGCTCCATATGGTGATGTATATGTCTCCAAAACCCAGCAGGTGGATAAATCTAAACTTGGTTTTTTTTAAACAAATATAAATATCCTTATACACACAACTACTTATAATAATGATAACATTACACAAGTGCAAACTGTCATGAATAAACGTAGTACAACAGAGCCGGATAACAAAGGCCCCCAAGTTGAAGAATAAATAGAGGTAATGGTTTTTAAAATTATTTATAAATATATGTTTTTAAAACATTTTAATATTTTATTATTTTTTTCGAATGTAAAGATATTAGTGTATTGCTGTACATCTTGCTCTACATCATTGTTTAAGCAATGTGTATGCATGTTTTGGACCTTAGGCACTCTTTAAATTACAAAAATTCTGTGCAATTGACTTTAGAGCAGCATTTTGTTGGTCAATGGCACGGCCTCAAAATAGTAACGCACCAACAATGAGCCTTAAAACACCCACAGACCAGCACAACCACAATAGTGGCACAATTGGATTTGCTATTTAAAAAATAGTAGCGCACAACATGAAAATGCAACCTGCACCTGTATGAGATTAGCAACAAATCACACCCTACACAGATGTACGATAGGGCCTTAAGAGTGTGTAATAGACCCATACAATCACTCTCACATACACACAATATATATATATATATATATATATATATATATATATATATATATATATATATATATATATATATATATATATATATATATATACTTCCTGCTTTGCTACTGTTCGGACGTCTTTGACCACTCTGCCGCTCTTCGCACTCTTGCTTTTATATCTTATACCCTAATTTTAACTTGAGCCTATCAGCACAGTGCTCAAACAACACGACTTGAAGATCAGCATCGATTCTACAAACTTTCTGGAATTTAGCTTTACTAACAAGAGGGAAATTACCGTCTAAACAATCCTCCTGCTACCAGCTACCAGCTGCTTACATTCCGGAGACGGGAAAACACGGCTGTAAAAATGCCTCTGGATCGGATTAATTCATATTCTCACTGCTGTACAAACTGCCACAAACTTCTACAAAGGATTGCAGTTCTTGAAACGAAGTTGCTTGCGATCCGACCAGAACTTCAGCTTCATTGTGGATCCTCTCAGCACACAGCCGGTGAGTCCCATAAATCTGTTCCTGCTACTGTTTTGAGCACAGAAAAACAGAAAAAAACTGTTGAAAATGAGCATTGGCATAAACAAGGTGCGAGACCAAAGGGTACTCGTGGGGTCAGATCATACGCTGCCGCATTAGCGTCTTCTACCCCAAATAGAGCTCGGACTCAAATACAGCTTCAGAACAGATATGACGTTTTGAGTAATATGGGTGAAGAATCCCCAAATGCAGTCAGACAGAAATCGCATGATTCAGCAACTAATTCTGCATGGAACAGAGGCTCAAGGCCGACTAGACAGCGGCATTCTGCTCCGATCACACCTGAGATAAGAACACTAGCCGTAAAAGATTCAATAATCAAGAATTTCAGGAGGAAATCTACTATGACATACTGCTTTCCTCATGCAACAGTTTCTGATGTAAACAAAGAACTTGAGGAAATTCTGAAAAAGCACAAGACGGCAAAACGGATTATTATCCATGTGGGGAAGAATGATATTCGGAAGGAACAGTCAGAACTGCTCAAGAAAGATTTTTGTGAGCTCTTGGAAACAGTTGAAAGATTGAAGGTTCAGCCATTCATTAGTGGACCACTCCCTGCAAGAGGGACAAATATGTTTTCACGGCTTCTTGGTCTAAATGTATGGCTACAGAAAACATGTAACAAGAAAGGACTGAATTTCATCGACAACTTCAATCTCTTCTGGAACCAAAGACAGCTGTTTACATTAGACGGCCTTCATCCAAACAAACTTGGTGCAAAGGTGCTAAAGGACAATATTTTTTTCTCCCTCAATCATCCATCAGCTGTGTATGCCACTGAACTGAATTGCACACACACACCTAGCAAATGTCCAGATGACCACAGGACCTCAAGTCAGCTCCTGAGTGGACTTGTGGCTGACGAATCACCCAAGGACAGTGATAATGCCACGCAGCCAAAACACCCAATGTTGATAGAGACACTATCAGTTGCCCTCTGCTCAACACTGGCAGACTGTGACGCATCAAAACAGCATCAAGTCTCGTCACTCAAAAATGATCCTCAGGAAAACATATTTCTGCAGACAGAATCTCCAGATGCACAGCCTCTGTCACCGGACACGTTCTCATTGTCACAATGTTCACCACTCTTGGGTTTTTCAAAAAAGATGGAGGAACTGGTGTATGCTGAAACTAAACTTTCACACTCCATTGCCGCAAGCCCCCAGTTACCAACCAAAAAGCGGCCTGTTCCACAACCACCTATGAGCCCACCTGGAAGAGCCCTCCGATTTTTGCCACACCGCCAGGGCCCAAACAACAACGCCCCATCTTCAGCTGGTGAACACAAGAGCTCTCTGTGATGTGTGTCGGGGACCTGCTTAGATAACAGTGTCTTTATCAAATGTTTTCAGAACAAGCAGGAACCCAGTGTGTCTGTAGCTTTCTCTAAGCAGATATGTGTTGTGTTAAGTGACAGAAAACCAAAGACTTCATTAGGCCGTATAGCAAATCATTCAAATCTGGTGTCTATTAAATGTAGATCTGAGACTACTATAGAAAAAACAGCTAAAACTGTTAAGTTAGCGCTTTTAAACATCAGATCACTCAACAATAAGTCTCTTTTAGTCAATGATTTTATCAACACAAATTGCCTTGATTTTATGCTTTTAAATGAAACTTGGCTAGATGACAGTTGTAGCGCAGCAGTTCTGAATGAAGCAGCTCCTTTAAACTTTCACTTTTTGAGTGTTTGCAGAGTTAATAGGAGAGGTGGAGGCATCGCTGCCCTGTTTAAAGATGTGT